GACCTGGCTGAACAAATACATGATACTCACAAGCCTGCTTCATTCTTCTTTAATTTAGAGTGACCTTTAAACTGAGAACAGTATATTCTTAAAGCAATGTAATTTGAATAGCACACCTGGAGTTATTCTCATGCCTACTTTGTGGCTGTCACCAGCTTCCTTAAAGTGTTGGTACCCGGCAAGTTTGCAACTTATCTAGGACTTACCCAACTTTTTATTCTGAGGCATCCTGTTACTAATATCTCTGTATTGCCTTTCTGCCTTCCTATTGTATGGTGGCGTATAATAACTATACAGTTAAAGCAACGAAAGGGTTTAAAAGTCAAGTTAAAAGAGATGAATTACATCTTTTTTCACAATTCATTAGAGATGCAGCCTCTAAGGTCTTCAGAAAAAAGTGTAGATTTTGGTCGACGAAGTGAACTCTGACCTTTTATTGACCCGTTAGTGACACACAGAAAGTAGTAACCACTTATGATGACACGAAGCGTTTGAAACAAAAAAAAAATAATTTAAGTGTACAATTCTGAGCCACACGGACAGTCTTTACCTCTTTTCGTATGTTTCTTTGATAAGCAAAGTCAGACTACACGTTTTCTTTTTCTTTCCCATTCATTCAGGGAGCAAGGAATAAAAAGCTTCCCTCTGTGAAAGAACTGCAGACAAAATTACCAGGCAGCAAAAAAAATGCCACCTTACACCTTCTGCTCTGTGAGAGTTTTCCTTGCTACCATAAAAGAGAAGGTACAAGGAGACAATAGTTTATAGGCAAACAGTAACAGGGAAACTTTACTTGTCTGCCGATGATGATAGCAGAGAAGGCTAATAATGTCTGTGGTGTAATACGCTGTTTTCAGTACAAATCAGCTTGGGTATATTTTATCCTAGAACATTTTTCTTAAATATTTCTTCCTGCTTCCTTTACTTAATGCTATCTTAAGTGACATGGATGCAGAGGGTGGGTGTTGGGGGAGAGGAGAGAAATCCTTCTGATAAGTAGGTTTGTGCGTATGCACTAAAGGGGTATTAAAGCTTTGGACACGGCTCTTTCTAGGCTTCTGTAGCTTGTACTAGCCTTTTATTTATTTATTTATTTATTTATTAAAAAAAAAAAAAAGAATTAACATCCACTCAGACGCAGGATCTGCCAGTGCAGTCTGGGAATACTGACAGCCACAGTCTGGACTGAACAGTAAACAGCTCCACCACATTCTATTGGCAATTATTGCTGAAGGTCACACATCAGCAGAGAGCCTGAATTCCAGGAAGGAAAGAAAAAAAAAAGCTGCCTCTTATGTAACTGCTGCCTGAACGCTGGCAGATGTCCAACAGAGCAGTTCACTGCAAAGTAACGTAGGAGGAAGGGAGGGAGCAAAACGCTAAGTAGGACATCTCTCAGTTTCTTCAGCATCATTAGGGTGCCCCCTTCTGGCAAAGCTTAATAGTGAAGCGTTAACGGTGAACTAGTGTGTGGTGAATGCTACTTTTATAAATAAAGTCTAAATAAATAAGAAAGAAAGAAAGAAAGAAAGAAAGAAAGAAAGAAAGAAAGAAAGAAAGAAAGAAAGAAAGAAAGAAAGAAAGAAAGAAAGAAAGAAAGAAAGAAAGAGAGAGGGAGAGGGAGAGAGAGAGAGAGAGAGAGAGAGAAAGAAAGAAAGAAAGAAAGAAAGAAAGAAAGAAAGAAAGAAAGAAAGANTTCACATCTAAAACCAGCTGCTTCACTTGAGACTGGAAAATAACTGGGCAATCACTGTGTGTCTTTCATCATTGGTGAATACTACTGTGCTTCGCAAACTTTGTTTTTTTTTTATTAAATTCACATGTTAAGACTCGGTGTGCCTGTCAGAAATGGAGAAAAGCATACAAAGAAACTATTCGTTTCAGTCTGATGTGCACTTCTTTTTCTTTCCCATTCATTCAGGGAGCAAGGAATAAAAAGCTTCCCTCTGTGAAAGAACTGCAGACAAAATTACCAGGCAGCAAAAAAAATGCCACCTTACACCTTCTGCTCTGTGAGAGTTTTCCTTGCTACCAGAAGAGAGAAGGTACAAGGAGACAATAGTTTATAGGCAAACAGTAACAGGGAAACTTTACTTGTCTGCCGATGATGATAGCAAAGAAGGCTAATAATGTCTGTGGTGTAATACGCTGTTTTCAGTACAAATCAACTTGGGTATATTTTATCTTAGAACATTTTTCTTAAATATTTCTTCCTGCTTCCTTTACTTAATGCTATCTTAAGTGACATGGATGCAGAGGGTGGGTGTTGGGGGGGAGGAGAGAAATCCTTCTGATAAGTAGGTTTGTGCGTATGCACTAAAGGAGTATTAAAGCTTTGGACACGGCTCTTTCTATGCTTCTGTAGCTTGTACTAGCCTTTTATTTATTTATTTATTAAAAAAAAAAAAAGAATTAACATCCACTCAGACGCAGGATCTGCCAGTGCAGTCTGGGAATACTGACAGCCACAGTCTGGACTGAACAGTAAACAGCTCCACCACATTCTATTGGCAATTATTGCTGAAGGTCACACATCAGCAGAGAGCCTGAATTCCAGGAAGGGAAAAAAAAAAAGCTGCCTCTTATGTAACTGCTGCCTGAACGCTGGCAGATGTCCAACAGAGCAGTTCACTGCAAAGTAACGTAGGAGGAAGGGAGGGAGCAAAACGCTAAGTAGGACATCTCTCACTTTCTTCAGCATCATTAGGGTGCCCCCTTCTGGCAAAGCTTAATATTGAAGCGTTAACGGTGAACTAGCGTGTGGTGAATGCTACTTTTATAAAGTCTAAATAAATAAGAAAGAGAGAGAGAGAGAGAGAGAGAGAGAGAGAGAGAGAGAGAGAGAGAGAGAGAGAGAGAGAGAAAGAAAGAAAGAAAGAAAGAAAGAACAGGCTACTTTTGATAAATGCATGATTAGGGCAATGATGACTCTGTCATAGTTGTACTCTTGAGGTGATGTGCTTTACGCTGCAGCTATGCAATCTAGTTCAAGACCACAATAATATTGAACATAGTAAGTTTTTTAAAAAATCCGCACATGATTAAAGAGGCCAGTTATGAAGGAGAGCAAGGTTTGGTTAATAAGTCTTCCTTTTCTCTTTCTGAAAGCGTTATAAGTTTCTTGTTTGGAAGAACAAGTAATTCCCAAACATCCGCTACTAAGTTAGTTTGTGTGGGAGACTGAGAGATACAGTATCTTATTTAATATTTTTGTTGGTACCTTCAAGAATTCTTGAAACATTCAGATGAATAAAATTCAACACCTTTTGTGGGAGCTGTGTTTGAGCTGTATTATATATCTTGTACATTTCTAAGGATGAAATTAAATATTTCTGCCCTCTTTTAAAAAAGAGTTACTGTATTTCAGTTTTTCATTTTCTCTCACACACCAATTTGGTTGAATAATTTATTTATCCAGAGCATTTCAGTATGCATTTACTTTTAAAGTGCCATTTTTAACAAAACGGTTACAAAAAGCCCACTTTATCTCTAATTTCTCTTGAAGAAATACAACTTTTCTAGAAACATGCATCACAATCACGAGCCTATTTTTCCTCTGGAAGAACTGTAATTTTCTTATTCTTCCTCAATAGCAGAAATTCATTGGACACAGAATATGAGTTTCAAGGGGCATTTGTTTTTTTGTGACATGAATTTGTAAGTTGGCTTGTGGAAAAAGAAACACTGTGCTTCCTCAGAAAAGTTTTAGGGAATGCAAACTTCTGCCAGAAGACACTTTTAATAAACAGATAGTGTTCATTTCCTATATTTATAAACACACCTGCCGCTAGCACGGAATCCTTCCACTGAAATCAGCCAACAAAGTTTTCACCGGCTACATTTTAAACTGAGCTTGATCTCAATCCTGATTTAATGCAAAGACAGTTAGGATGTGTGAAAGCATTTATCTGACAGAAAATCTAAGTAAAAATAAGCAGCCTAAATTCCATGTATATGTTCACAAATTTGGAATATAGGGTGCTTCTCAACACCCTGAAGCTAAATGAGTTTGCTTTAAATTACTATGAAACAATAAAACAACATTTTTAAAAGAGAATTCTTGCCCATTTTTTTAGTTGACAAAATTCAGTAAAATAAAACAAAGTAGTTGACCAACTCCTCCACCTAATTTATGCTCTTTTCTATAATATTTGTAATACAAAAAAATAATCCAAAATCTCTGATACTAACATCTTTATGGAGCAGCATCTGATCATATGATAATGATGGCTATAAACTATGAGTGGAATTTTGACAGTAGAAAACCCAGCAGAGCAAAGGAAAGGCTAACTTGAGACGATCAATGGGCCATAGACAGAAAACATGCAAATCAGTTGCTTCTATCTCTCTGTTAGAAAGTACGTAAACCCTATTATCAGATAGCCTGATTGCAAAGTTCAAAGAAAGTATATATTTTCCCATGTAGGTCTTAGGATCATATGTTCAGTTAGAAGAAACCACTATAGATTATAGCAGACTTTTATCTGCCGGCTTATAGAAATTAAATTGCCATGTAAAAACTGTCGTATAAAAATTAACCAGGCAAGCTACAAAAAACAGCTATTTAATTCTAGGTGCCATCTTTTCTTTCAATTACACAGAGTGGCAAATTCGAGATTCAGGATTTGATTGGCTCATATTTGCACGTTAACATTTCTAAATTCAAAGAATTCTTATAAAACAGTTATGTGAAATGTTTAAGCATCTTCTATTATACTGCAGGCGAGAGTTACCCATTCAGTGGTCTAGCATTTGAAAGAATACAACACGACTGAATCCAAAGAATATGTTCAGACAATACGCTTGGAGGGGGGAAAAAATACACAATTAAAATTAAATAATTCGTGGTATGACAAGTTACACTCCACTACATCGCTAGCACAAATATGAAAACCACAACACACAAACACTGACAAGACAGCATGACATGCTACATGGCTACTGACTTCAGGATATCACCAGGGAAGACTAAAGAAACAATAAAGTAAGAAATTCAAAACCTCAGCATTTTCCAATTCACCAAGTGCAATCAGCTAAAAATAAAAACAAGAGGGAGACAAAAAGAAATTGCAAATAAATATTAATGAAAGAGAAATGGCAAATAATCAGTTACTATAAACGCCGAGAATCATAATTTCCAGTCTTTCAACCCAGTTCTTTTGTAAGATTGTTGATTAAAACAAACAAACAAAATCCTCATTTTCTCTCCTGATTACAACACTAGATATAAATATGGCATTTGACATACTAGCCTAGGGTAGCAGGATTGTGCATATGATCCTTTATCAGATGTGGAGAAACCTAATTAAGAGTGTCTTGAATAAATATGGCTGTACATCCCTATTTTACATCTCTATATCATCAAGCATTATTATTCTTTGTTCTTTCATATAACTTTTCATATAAAAAAGGCATGTAAACTTTTCAGTGTGACAATTAAATGCATCTGATTATAATGTTTTTTTTTAATATGGTTAATCTACAAACTATCAAGTAGCTACAGGTTACAGGTAGTCCTCGACTTACAACAGTTCATTTAGTGATTGACTTATGACCGTTTTTCACAGCTGCGACCTTGGAGCATCCCCATGATCATGTGATCAAAATTCAGATGCTTGGCAACTGACTTATTTATGACTTGCAGTATCCCAGATCATGTGATCACCTTTTGCAACCTTCTGACAAGCAAAGTCATTCACTTAACAACTATGGCAAGAAAGGTTGTAAAATGGGGCAAAACTCACTTAACAAATGTCTCATTTAATAACAGAAATTTGGACTCAATTGTGGTAGTAAGTCAAGGATTACCTGTATTAGGATGATGCTTTCAGCATCCACTATGCCTAATAATATTAAAACTAGGTGTCTTGGGATTGGATATTGTGTGGCACCATTTGTATGTTCCATGAAAAAAATCCAATATTCTAACCCAAAACATGTAGTTTTAATATTATTAAAGTAGAAGCTGGAAACATTCTCCTAATCCAGGGGTATACCACCTTGGCTCTTTTATGATTGTGGACTTCAACTCCCAGAATTCCTGAGCCAGCATGGCTGGCTCAGGAATTCTGGGAGTTGAAGTCCACAAGTCATAAAAGAGCCAAGGTAGCCTACCCCTGTCCTAATAATAACCTATGGCCACTTGGTAATCTGTAAACTCTATATTAAAAATTAATATAATCCACCCTTCTGAGAGTCCCAGGGCATAATCCTTTCTTACTTCAAACAGATTGGCTTGATTCAGTACGTTGCAACTCCTGAAACTTCTATGTATAACAAATATAACAATTTAACTTCATCTGTATATTCAGAATAAAACTGCAGTTGAAGTTTCCAGGTACCTAGGGAAATGTTGTTTTTCCTTGATATAAAAACAAATCACAATCAGCAAAAACACCAAAATCCAGATTCAATAAACTTGTTTTAAAGGGTACACTGATCAGTTTACTTGGGCAAACTGTTTGTGCTTTAGCTCAAGCAGAAATCAATCTTTGTTGTAGAACATGGGTGTCAAACTCGCCGCGTCACGTGACTAGTCGTGACTTTTTCCGCATGGCTGGAGGTGGGGTGGGCGTGGCCTCCACATGATACAACCCTGTTGTAGAATATACTTAAATGCAGCTTCATAAAGTTAGTATTCTTTGCAGTGTAACTTTTAACAGGGAAGAGACTTAAGCTGAGCTTCTTTGTTACAGACTTTTACTATCATTTTCTCAGGGGTAAGAAACAGAAAGAAAGTTAAAGCTGTTCCTATACTGACATTGTTTTTATAAAAAGAAAGTAAATCTATATGTATCACAAAACCATAAAACTGGAGAAAACTATTTAACTCAACCTTTTTCTGAAGTGGCTGAAAAAGAATTATATCTCCATACAGTAAATCGGTGTGGTAAATAGCTAATGGGTAAATCAGGATTTCCCATGTTTTATCAACTGTTAGAAGGCTTTGTTTCTACCTTTAGCTCAAAGTGCTACTTTTGCTAGAGCACCAATACATTTACAAGTTAGATTTTCTTCATCTACAAGTCTTTCTGTACTACTTATCATGCTATATTATACAAACAGATGCTTCTGAGCCTTCCCCTGATTTGATAATGTTCACAATTCTATACCTCATTCGCTGTACTATTTCTAATTTATTTATGATAACTAGTCCATTTAAGTAACTTTTCCAATATATCAGATTTAAATTTAAAATAATCATCCCATGATTTTTAAAATATATTTAATACATTAAGTTTGCATTAATACAAACTATAATATAGTTCCTATTGACCTAATAGATTTATAAGGAATTCCAAAAATAAAAGATCACAAAGATCTTTAAGCTATAAATTATAATGTTTAGAATCTTCACTATTTCAACTTTTTTCTTCCACTAAAAACTATTAGAATAACTTTTTATCTAAACAATTAAGTGAAATAAACATGTTTCAGAGTGTCTTTAAATAAATTCAAAGAGGCACACAATTTAGTAGATTAGTCACACAATTTTCTTCCTACAAAGAATGTAGGTAGATTGAACTGTTGTTGCTAATGTGAAGCTGCCATGTTACTTTTCATGTCAGGTATCATTGTCTTCTCCATTTTGACAACTCCCTCCCAATCTCCTATGAACATTTCTGCTTATTAGCTTCTTTTCTTAGAGGTTTTCCATAGTAATTTCATGGGGCTTCAAGCTGTTCTCCTTGTAACCTTGAAGCTTATCAGGAGTTCCTAGTGAAGCATCTGGCTACACACATACAAGTCTGTTTTTCAGGTGGGATAGCTTAGAAGGAAAGGGCCATCTGCATAGGTGCCTGCCTTCATTTGAGCATGGCTAAGGTTCAGGAAAGGTGCAGCTACTGAATAACTTCTTACATTGAGTCACATCTATGCTCTCTTCAAGCTAAAGTCTGGCAGTTATGGTGATCACAGTCACAATACACCCCAGAACTTGACAAATAAATATAAAAGAAAACTGTCCCTCCCTAACTGATCTTGTGCTTCTCTTCTGCTGGGAACTTTTAAGGAAATGCATTCAATATTGGACATTGGCAGCTGATTAAACTAGACATGATCCAGACAACTGTTTATAAAATAGGTGAAATTTATAAATGCCCTTTCCCAAAAAACTAAAAGCAGCTCATTTAGATAGCTTCCTAATATACACACAGCTGTTCTGGGTTGCTTCAGAGATCCTAAAATGCATTTAGATCTCAATTAGCAATGAAACCTGTGATTTGCCTTTTGCTTCTCAGTGCCTAAGGGCCTTAGAACAGATTTACAGATTTTCATAGCAATTTCCCTTCAGTGTGTTTGGGATTATCAAATTCATGTGTTTAGAGAAAAAACATTTACCAAAATACCCCATTTTGCTACTTTCTGCAAATAACTTCGTAGTTTACACCCTTTTCAATTTAACAGATTAAGATTAATAATTAAGATTTATTAGAAAACATTTTGTCACTTGCTCTTTTTTTTGCTAGATATTTTTTGCTAGAGATTCTAAATATGGAACATCTATTATCTTCCATTATTGCAAGCTACACCTCCGTCATAATTTTAAAGTCGATAGTTTACTCGTTTCCTGACTAGCTTACTTTTTTCCTGAATTCTTTGCAATACGTTATTATGATCTAAATCCCTGCCTCACTTTGTTTTTCAGTAACATAAAAGTCTGCAATTGTCCAATTAAATGACTGTCTAGTTTAATATAATTTGTTGATCATGTTTTTTTTTTATCCGATGTGCACAAAGAGCTAAAATAGCAGAGGAGGTCAGCCAGTTAGATAAGTCTTTGGTATATGTTATGTCAGTCCATTTAACTCTGCCCATTGATTCTCTAACCAACTGGGGCATATATTCTGCCTCTGTAGAACTCTTTGGGCTACAACAATTTCAGGGAATTGATCAAAATGTAAAATCAATTGATTTATCCTCTTTTAGTAAGCCATTCAGCACATAGAAGTCTAAATTAATGGCCACCTGCTTTACACTTATAGCAGCCAGATTACATTTCTTGGGAGAAGATACTTCTTGATATGATGAGCCCTAAATTTTTAGGCTCAGTAAATACTCTCATCTGTCTTTACTGTGTCCATAAAGCCCATCCAATCTTTTTTTCCAGCAATTAAACCATCAGCAGCAAACACAGGAAAGGTCTTGATAGTTTTGCTTTATTTTTCTTTCTGTTTCTCTTCTTTCATAGCAGCAGCATGTTAGGGTGTCATGGGAAATATAATCCAGTTGCTTAGGTTTCCTATCTTAGTTGTCTGAGGCAATAATGGAGGAAGGACAGAAGCAAGACCCCTTCCTTTCTGCACATACATGCTGCTTAACAATATAGGAAAGTAGGAGGGAGAATGTCTGGCAGGGCTAGTTCTGGGAGTTGCTCAGAGTTGATAGGAAAATGAAAAATCTTTTTTTACCTCAATTTTTTTTAATCTCAGCCAGTGAAGAATTTTGGTAATTTAAAAGGTCCTCTTTCATTTATGCTGGTGATTTTATAAGTGCCTAAACTTCTTATACAAACCTGTACTGGAATAAATTTGCTAACCCCCTAGACTTACATATCCATAAGGTTCATATAAGAAATATTTTATATCTGTAAGTAAAAAGAATCCATTTTGGAATGCCAGGTTCCTAAGCATCAGCGTGAAATTAGATTATCTACAATTGAATGAATACAGAGACGAGGAATCTATAATCCTCCAGATTTTGTTGAACCTCAACTTCCAGAAGGCCCAACTCGTTTGTAAATACAGATGTCTGGAGGGTTAGTGGTTGCATATTTCTGTTTCTTCAAAATTTGTTTGAAGAAATCAAATTGTTTGAAGAAATCAAATTGTGAAGACAAAAAATGCCTAGACCACAACCCTCAAAGAATAGGATTTCTTTTCTGTATTAACTATATAATATTGTCTGTTAACGAAGTGATTGAAAATGACTTAAGCTTTTTTTTTGTTTCATTTTATGACCCTGTAATCCCTTTTATCGGGGTAGAGTTGGGGCAACTGAATGGAGCTGAGAGTTTATTGGCAGGATGCCCTTCCTGACCCTATATGGAGTTCATAGCAGATATTTTCTCTTTGTGCCTTGATAGAGAAACATCTGTCAATGCCTAGGATTGAACTCTCAACCTTCTGAGAGTTTTCTTCCTCTTTAAGTCACCACGCCACTCCAGATAAACAATATATAATCTACTTAAGCAATATATAATCCATTATCCTCAATGGAGAAGAAAAAAGAGATGCTGCAGAATTTGGGAGTCCCTTGTCCTATTAAAATAAACTGGAAATAATCGCAATTCAGTTTGTATATGCCATTGTTTTAGACCTTAAAAAAATAAATGCAACATATATAAAGAATCTATACTGCCATTTCTTCAACTACTCTGTTAATAAATAAATAAATAAATAAATAAAGACAGAATTAAAGACAAAACAGTAGACTATAAATCAAAGTACCTTCTCTCCATAGCCTCTATCTTTGGTCATCATTTCCCTGAGTGTCTGTAATACTTTAATACAAAGTTTCTCCTCATTCTCTTCCAGCAGCTGTTTAGTATGTTTTATTAACCTGAAAACAACCAATTGATCACAGTTTGTTTCAGTACTAGAATGTCTACTCAATTAGGAAAGCATTTGTAGGTGTTTGCATTAAAGGTGAAAGAAACAACCAATTGTCTAAAAGACAACCATATTGTCATTTTTTCCCTTCAAAGCATATTTTTTTTCAGATATATATATGTGTGAAGCAATAAATAAACTTTGTTCCATACCCCTTCTACATAGAAAGCTTTGAAGTGCAGTACAATCTGCACTGAGAAAATAAAGTTGCACAAACATGGAATAAAGGAACTAAAATTAAGCAGCTCTGTTATGGAATAACAATATTTGTAGCTTGTTTCATAAAATACAAATTGTTTCTCATGACTTAAGAAATAGGAGGTTCTGAGATGGTATATCAGAAACAAAAAAAATACAACACATTGTTACATTCTATAAGGATTTCTGAACAAAGCATTAATTCATTCATAATGAAATATTCTAAAATTTCAAAATGGGCTATTTGTTATGTTCACTAGCAAAAGTTAACCAGGATCCTCTTACTTAAACTAAGGATAAATTTTACCAGAGATTTGTGGTTGCTAACAAAAGCAATCATTCTTTTGTTTTCTTGACCAAATCCCATGCAGTCTAGCATATATGAATAGCATGCTCCATTTTTACATCAAGCAGATGAACAGAGGAGAAAACCTTAATACAATATAGTATTATGTCACATAAATTTTCTTACTTAGGATTGAGAGACTCCTACCTATCCATCTATCCTCAGACTAACTTTTCACCAATCTACACAATATTGTCATTTTCTAAATAAATAAGATGGACACTGAGGCCTGATTCACATAACATGCTAAGCCACAATGCGGTTTGTATATGACTAGTTTAGCATATTGTGTGAATGTTGCTGTTGTGGTTTAAACAATGACTAATGCGATATATGAATCCAATCATTAAATACTGTGTAACAGAACATGATCTGTAGTACAATTTTATTAAAATTACGAAAACGAAAGTCTTCGGTAATGATGGTCGAAGTTATTGTCATCTAGGTACACCTTCCGATGATCTTAGAACGTTTCTTTCTTTCTTTCTTTCTTTCTTTCTTTCTTTCTTTCTTTCTTTCTTTCTTTCTTTCTTTCTTTCTTTCTTTCTTTCTTTCTTTCTTTCTTTCTTTCTTTCTTTCTTTCTTTCTTTCTTTCTTTACATGATAACAAATTGATAGCAAAATAAGATCAATTTACCCTAACCTATAGTAACAATCTAGAAGAGAACAAGAATTATTTTAAAATAATAAAGAAAATGCTGACCCTCAACTTACTTGCAGATAAAACCTCCACTTTCACATTTCCTTCTTGCATCTGTATTTTCTGGGAAAAGCAGTTCTGGTCTATGAAGGACATCCACCAATACAGACAATTCAGCTTGGACCAGTGGCCGTAAGCGATCTTCCAAAGCTGATACTATATCCTGAGGTAAGTGTATATTTAGTTTAAAACTTACATGGACAAATCACACAGACAAGTACTTTTTAAAAACAATTATGCCAATAAAATAAGAATATGGTTAATTAAAACAAGATTAATACAGAAAATATTAACATAATGGACCTGCAGATTTCATTGTTTCCACATTTCTCTTCTCATTGTTAGTAGAAATAGGTTCCTTTAAAGTTACAAACACTAAGTACTTATAATACAATACTGCTAACATTTGCTTACTAAAATCTTCCATTTGCTTACTAAAATCTGTAAATGGAAGTTATAAAAAGCAAAATAGGCAATATTATTATTACTATTATTAGCATTTATTACATATCAGAAATGAAAACATTATGTTGACAAAATAAGATGGTCAATGGAAAAGAGAAAATACAGGGGGGAAAAAACAGCTGAAAGAGGACTGAGGTGAATATAGGAGTGGAAGGACTGAGGAACATAAATGCAATAAAAACGACCCGGAAGTGAGCATGATTGACTACAGTCTTAATTAGGAGCTTCTCCAGTGAAATGTTTTGTTTATAACTACTGAGATCACCAAATTTGATCAGCCCCATTTGCACAAGACCTCAGCATCCAAGCATTCAGCTTCCATGGAAAGGCATCTATCCAGTTCAGAAGGCAGTATTTTCAGTATTAAGCAAAAGTCAAGAACACAGGGACATAATCTGAAACTGACAAAAATAAATAAAAATAATAATAAAATAGTAAATAAATAAAAGTTAATAATTAAAATTGTGCATGAATAAATTAAAAAGAAAACAAAAACAAATAAAAACCTCAAAGGGCAGATTCGCTGGACCACTGGGTCTTTTTCTGCCATCAGTTTTCTATATTTCTACTATACCTATACCTATTATAAAATAGTAATATTTTATAATATTTGTGAAATATTTGTGGAACGGGCACAAATGTGATCTTGAGTGTGTAGAAAATGAGTATAAAATAAAATGGCCATTAGAGAAGCAAGATATTAAATAATCCTTAACTAAATATTTAGTGCCATATAAAGGTGTGTGAGAATATACTTGAGAGACAGCAGGCAGAGAAGACACAGACTAGGCAAAGATCAGATAAAAGGCTGCTTAGTCTACAGGACTAGGAACATGGCAAGTCTCAGAAGGAACATGGCAAACATCTCAGAAGGGACTCATCCTGCAAAGACTGGGGGGGGGGAGAGGGGGAAAGTGTAGTTTCAGACTTGCAAGATTCTGTTGTTGTAATTTTACAATAAAGGTTTTACTCACAGTTGGTGCTTCTTGCCTGGGCTATCTCAAAGAGATGACATGTTATTTCTTGATACAAATTGCCTATCCCCTAAATGCTTAAAAGCAGGTACTGAGATATACTCACTTGCAATCTCTCGATGATATTACGATAATCCCTTGAAGCTGCCATCACAGAATCTCTTCGAGCAGCGTTTCTTGCCGTCATCCTCCAGTTCATTGCTGTTTTTTGCACTATATTGTGAGACTTCAGGAAAAGGTTATTGACCTGGCTGTCGAGATCCACCGGGATAGCAATTGCTCGGCTCTTTGCTAAAATGTATAATGCATTGTCATTTGTTCAACCAATGATATGTTATACAACATGCATTTCATAAGGACATAAATCAGATTTGTATCTGGAGAAATGAAAGGGCAAATTTAGGTAGGGAACATTGACATATGTAGATATGTTTTGTTCATGCTTTTGATATTACTGTGTTTGCGTGTACGCTATAGCAGCTTCTATTAGGCAAAATCCTTTCAGTCCAGCATTCTGTACCCATAATGGCCAACCAAAGTTTTATTTGTAAACTGCTCAAAGTCATTTAGACAGTGAAATGGGTGGTATCTAAATTTGAAAAACAAAAGAATGCCAAAGGGAAACCCAAGTCAAACATGAACATCTTACAGCCTGTTCCTGTGCTTGTTTCCCAATTTGCACAAATTAACAAGTTTCTATAACCAAAGGTAATACAGTGTCATCATGCCTAATATACACTCTCAATTGTGAAAATAAAGCATATCTTTGATTAGACTGTTAGGGTTCCACAGAAAAATACTTGTAGAAATATATTCCGATGGTCCGTATTTCAAGTTATTAATAAAAAACACCATAATTTAAAGTAATCGATGAAAAGGGAGAACACTTAAGGGCAAGATATTTATGATAGACAGATTTATTGAAGGGTAAGAGCTTATGTGGATTAATCTTTACAGTCCTACAGTCACTAAGGCTTCCCAGTGAAATTCCAAAATTGTTCACCTTCCAGAAGAAGGTGAAGACCAAACTCTTCTGGAGGGTGTTTGGGATATGAAGCCATGTCATTGTTGCTAGTGGACTTAAGTATTTAGATATTGCACATCTTGTACTATTATATGCTTTGGGAATGGTTGTCATAATCCACTTAATCTGTTTAGATTGCAGCAGGTATAAAATTGATTAATAAGTCAATAAATCAATATAGGTTTCTTACCTACATCTGAAAGTACTCTGATACAACTTTCCACTGATGCTTTTTGACTGGGCATGAGCCAGTTACAGTGATATACTCGAAACACACCTTGTAAAAGTTGCACAAACACAGGCTGGCGAGTCTGAAAAGAAACCAAGAATATGTACATTTCAATTCAAGGAAAAGAGAAAAGTAACAAGAGAAATAGAAGTCTATAAATGTGATGAGTTGGACTGAAGCTAAGCAACCAAGCATGAAAAGTGATTTGTTGTGAACCCAGAGATACAGCATTTTAAAAGCAAATTGTCTTAAAGTTCTGGGGTATAGAGTTGCACTATTACCTACTGAAGCAATTACATTTTTTTTCAAATTATCAAGTGAAATTAAAATTGTTGTTGTTGTTGTTAATTGCGAAGTCGTGTCCGACCAATCGCGACCCCATGGACAACGTTCCTCCAGGTCTTCCTGTCCTCTACCATCTTCTGGAGTCAATTTAAGTTCACGCCTACTGCTTCAGTGACTCCATCCAGCCACCTCATTCTCTGTCGTCCCCTTCTTCTATTGCCCTCAATCTTTCCCAGCATTAGGCCCTTCTCCAGTGAGTCCTTCCTTCTCATTAGGTGGCCAAAGTATTTGAGTTTCAACCTCAGGATCTGGCCTTCTAAAGAGCAGTCGGGGTTGATCTCTTCTAGGACTGACCGGTTTGAACGCCTTGCAGTCCAAGGGACTCGCAGGAGTCTTCTCCAGCACCATAGTTCAAAGGCCTCAATTCTTTGTCGCTCAGCCTTTCTTATGGTCCAACTTTCACATCCATACATTGCAACTGGGAAAACCATGGCCTTGACTATACGCACTTTTGTTGGTAGGATGATGTCTCTGAAATTAAAATACCTACCCTAAAATAGGGAATAAAATCTATTGGAAGCTGTGGGTGGAATCTATTTAAATTTAAATTTAAATCTAATTCTATTTCTTTGTGTAAAACTTGTTAAGACAAATTGGAATAAAAAAAAGTCACACTTCAATTATGTCAGCGTATAAGTTAGACTACAAATATGATATGATAAATGGAATGTTCTCATAGGAAAGCAATTAAATGGCCAGTAGATGGCTCTGTAACATTACTAAAAATATGCTAAAGATTAAAAATTAGAAGGCAGGAATCTCCTGCCCTTCTACAGAAAGCATCCTTNACAAATTGGAATAAAAAAAAGTCACACTTCAATTATGTCAGCGTATAAGTTAGACTACAAATATGATATGATAAATGGAATGTTCTCATAGGAAAGCAATTAAATGGCCAGTAGATGGCTCTGTAACATTACTAAAAATATGCTAAAGATTAAAAATTAGAAGGCAGGAATCTCCTGCCCTTCTACAGAAAGCATCCTTTAGGGAAATGTGGAATACTGAAACAGTCAACCTCTTAGTTTTATCTACAATTCAATCTTTCCAGAAATTGTTTTCAACTACAAAAACATATCCCAAGATCAAATTAGGTATAATAATAAGAAACGTAGATCTCATTTTGCTTTGCAGATTTTAATTCTTTATTTAGTTTCTTACCTGCAAAGTTGTGCTCTGGTCTGAAAATGGAGAACTGAAGAAGGTGGTAACTATACTCATCACTATTTCAGTCACATATTTTTCCAATATAGAATCTGCATGCTTCCTATCACTGGTATTGTTGCAAGTCTGGAAAATAATGCAATCTGTTAAAACGAAACAATGCAAATTCTCTCACAAATACCAAGCAATTAAACTTAATATACCTAGAGAGAAATCTTTCTAGAAATTCTGAAACAATATAAAGCATATTTGGGGAGGGAATGGAATAGAAATATAGGCAGTCCTCAACTTAGTCATTCATTTAACGACAGTTCAAAGTTACCACAGCACTGAAAAATGTGCCGTATGATCAGTCCTTGAACTTACGACTGGCACAGCATCCATATGGTCACATGATCAGAATTAAGTTGCTTGGCAACTAGCATGTATTTACAATGGTTGTAGCATCTTGGGGGGTCATGTGATCATCATTTGTGACTTTTCCAACCAGCTTCCAACAAGCAAAGTCAATAGGGGAAGCCAGATTCACTTAATAACCATATTATTCACTTAACTGCAGTGATTTGTTTAACAATGGCAAAAAAAGTTGTAAAATTGGGCATAACTCTCTCCTGGTTAGCAATGAAAATTCTGGTTCTAATTGTGATTGTAAGTTGAAAATTTCCTATATGTGCAATTTAAAAAAAAAAACTTTTTATAAGCACTAATAATGTTGCTACAAATGTCCGCTTCAGTGTTTGAGAAGAAGATACTGGAGAATCAGAACAGACACAAATTGTTAGACTGAAAGTTAAAAAGAGAAATCCTCCTTCTCTTTTAAAACTTCAGGGCCTCTTGGAGGAAGAAATAAATATTTCATAATTCACTTTTTCCAAGAAGAAAACTTGTTTTGGATAGAAACCCAACTTACAAATCACACTTATCAATAAACTGAAATGTAGTCACTAGAATTGTAGGGGGGGGGATCTAATAATTGTCAACCAAATATCACATCATTGCCCTAAACATGCACATACTCCAATATACCTAGCATGCAGTGAGGATTGATTCTGCTCAGTATCCTAATAAGTAGCTTTGGGAAAGAAAAATAGAAAGGTATGTGTGTGCTTAGAGGAAGTGTAACAATGGAATGCTTTGCTTGAAGGAAATGAATGGGTGGAATTTGACAAGGACCCCTCCTTTTTAAGAGAAAGGATAAAGGGAAGGGCTTGTTATGTTTGCCTTCAGAAGTAGTAGGGGCTTCAACAATAGAGGTGTTTAAGAACCATTTGTCTGAAATGGCATAGGTTCTCCTGTTTGAGCAGGAGGTTGGACTAGAAGACCCCCAAGGTCCCTTTCGACTCTTTATTCTGTTCTGTATCACTTTTTTCCCCAACGTGGACAAAGATAGCAGTATCTAAAAACAGGCATTGCAGTAAAAACATTAAAAAGGCTTCTAATATAATTATTCATCATAGATGCCTATGCTTACCAAAGAACAGAAAACCAACAACATGAAAAGTTAACTAGGAACTGGAGGTTGAGGACAATTACAGAAGAATTAGAAAGCTGCAAATCACAGAAATATGAAACCTACATAGAAATCTAAATGGACACATATTATCACTACAATTACATGAGAAAAGCCAATGTTATTACTGTTGTTAAATCTATGCCATATATGCATAAAATTACAGAGAATGTTTCAAATGAAACTGAAGCCATGGATATGACTTTCACAGCTCTTTCCAAATAGACATTTTATAAGTAGCATTCAGATGTGGCTTGCATGATTTACCCTTTAATATTTCCATCTATAAATACTTACCCTACAGATATCAACCAGAAAGTTTTCAAAGAGCTTCCACATATGATTGCTTGTATAAATCTCTTTCATTTCAACTTCTGTGTCGACATAGCAGTGATTTAGAAAATTAATATAGGCTATTTTCACCTGCAGATAATAAATCAAATAATTTATATACCCTTTTAAAAAATAGATTAAAATTGTCAGGTAAGTCTGGACAATTATGAAAAAAATAACTCCAAACTCAGAGATAAAACTCATCTTTGCCACATTCTTTTTTTATCTCTATAAAGTATTCTCCTGCTTAGTTAATCTATCAGTCATTATCAATATTACTTTAGTTGTTCCAAACCACAAACCAGGTCAACTCATCATTTTACACCAGGGGTCTTCAAACTTTAAATGAACATGGATTATTTATGTACAAAGTGGTGCCACTTTTTTATTTAAAAAAATCAGAAGATTGCCACCAATCATGTTTATTTTCTAAGGCATTTATTGGGCTCAGGGTTATTCCTATAAACCAGAAAATAGAAGAGGCTTGCCTTTTGTTAGGTCAGACAGAGTTTCTCACTCAATCAAGTGAATCAGGCTAAAAAGTGTGAGAGATACCAAGGAAATGCTTATAGGTACATTTCTTCTAAGAAACAAAGGTGAAACCGAAGAAAATTTCATACATTGTAAAAAAAAAAAGTTTAACACTAGTTTAGCTGTCTGTGAAAATGGTAAACAAATGTATCAGTGTTGCGCTAGGAAAAAAGTTACTAAAAGGCAATTAATTTCTAATAACAGCCTTTGATATTCTCTGTTCTTGTTTAAACTGTAATGAAAACCGTAATCTGTCCTTAACTGAATCCTTGATCTAAGGTACGAGGCTACTTGTCCTTGAGGAAAAGTGGGGAATTAAATTAAAGAAAGTATAAAAACTTCCATCATGTTCCTCATCCTGATTAAAACATAATCACTGACCGTTCACCTAAGACTAACAAGATGGAGCAAGCAAAACAGCATGTTACCTCAGGTATGCAATCCTCATGGGTTACAACTCTAACAATGTCATCCAAGGGGAGAAGAGAGTTGCACTTGATTTCAGTGTAGACATTTTTGCCCTCTGTGCAAACAGCCAGTAATTCTACTAAGTGGATGTGGTACATGAGGGCACTGTTTTCATCCATTCTGTCCCGTTCTGATCTCATCATCTGCACTAGTGTCTGGAATGAGGCTCTGTCATTGTAGAACACAAGGACATCCTCCCCTGCATTGACCAGCTACCAAGAGAAGAGAGTCATAATTCCATCCTACATGAAGAATAATTAACACAATGTTCAACAGGCTCCTAGCAAATCAGCAAGTTGCACCCATGATCATGTCTTCTACAATCGTTCTTTGATAGTTTGTACATGTCTACAGCAACATTTTGACATGTTTGTTAAATTTATATTGTGAATTAAGAGTAATCTGGGGAAGGTGTGAAAATGTGGGCTACCAGGACTGAGAAATAGTGCTCTCTCTTGTTACAGAAAATTGGTATGGTTGCTTCAATCCTAACTAATTAACACATACACTCTTTTGAGTTTAGTTCACAAAGCAAGTCTATGTCGATCTCTTAGCAAAAAACCAGAAGAGGCATATTAATGTCTCCTGGCAAACCTATTTACTAGAATGCAAACCCCATTAAAATATGTGAGATTACATCTAAAGTAAGATGCTTTGCAGTCTTATAAGAAAGTGACATAGCTTTCGTTGGGAAGATATTTGTTAAAATGCCGTATTTTTAATCATTGTTTCCTTAGAGAATAAACTACTTTAGCGTGAGCCTTCCTTTTTATAGCTGTGTTTCGTACACAAACACAGGGAAATTTGCAAAATTAACATACTGTAACTTTCCTTTACTTGCCAACCCATTAAACTACTCGATCAAACAACTGTGATAAAAGGAAGATACTGTATCAGGTACAGAAAAACCCTGGCTTAGACTGCTGAAGGCTCCAAGTCCTGTCAGCCCCAATGCCACTTCTACCAAGGAGCAGCTCTGCAGGGTGGCCAAAAGGGCAGGGATGGGGGGCAGGGAGGGATAAGCAGGTGGTGGGAATTAAAGAGGAGAAAGTCCCTTATCTTCTCTTACCAAGGCTTGGGTCTGGGAGGGACCAAGCTGGGAATGGCTTGCAACAGGGTAGGCCCTTACCTAATGACTGCTAGGATTCAGTTAACAACAGCAACTGAGGACTACCAGGACTGTGTCATTAAAGAATACAGATGTGTGATATTGTGTTTTATGACTACATTGTTTAGTTCCAGTCCTGTTTACTATTGTACCTTGAAGACTATCTGTTTAGCTTTTAATACCAACTCCTGAACACTGATTTCTAACAACAGCCAGTTTCTTATTGTTTAGAGCAGGGGTAGGCAACCTTGGCTCTTTTATGACTCATGGACTTCAACTCCTGCTGGCTCAGGAATTCTGGGAGTTGAAGTCCACGAGTCATAAAAGAGCCAAGGTTGCCTACCCCTGGTTTAGAGCTTCTTAAGACTGATCTTATATCTATAAATATGCAGTATGGAGGCATCTTTCTCACCTCAGCCATGACCATATCCTGACATTTTTTAATGAACTTCCCTTCAGCCTTAACAATTGTCTGGAGGAATTTAATGTACTGGACATTCCTTCCATGGGTTTCAATGCAGTGCACAAAGTGCTGAACCACTCGCTCGTTAATTTCACTGCAAAGCTGGAAATTATTCATGAAGATATGCTGCATTGTCACGGCTTCCAGAATCTATTAAAGAACAAAAATAGAGACCATAACAATATTAACCACTCAACAAGAGGTGCTGCACACTGGATTTAGAAATTCAGGAATCTGGCATTCCAAATATCCTGGCAACCTTTCACGAGACAGCTTCATCCATACCTTTCAGCTTCTTGGGATTCTTTTCTTAAAACTGCAGATTACAGATCTACACCAAGACAGCGCCAGGGAAATCAGAAGATCCAGGCAGTTCAAATGAATATAAAGATTTATTGCAAGCTTAATCTCTCTACAAGCAACTGAACTACTAATGGTCCAAGCAAATTGGTGGTAGATAAGGGACAATGGAATTCAAGGTGGGTTGGACTTAGGTCTCTTGAGGGTGTGAAGGGACTCATGACAGATGATGCTTTTCACCCTTCCGTCAGGCTCATCCTGCTCTTTTCCTACCAGTAACCCATTTGGAAAAAAGAAAGAATCTGCAAATGAGCTATTCCTGGTTGGTGTGCTGTACCATTCTTGGAAAAACATAAATCACAGGTTTCTTAGGAACGTTGGAGCATATCACATTCCTTCTGCTTTATTATGAATTTTTCCATCACATAATTTGTACTGCAGCATCCAGAACTACTGAATATGCTGCACCAGAGGATCAGTCAGAATAGAGATGGAAGGGACCTTGGAGGTCTTCTAGTCCAACCCCCTGCTCAAGCAGGAGACCCTATAACATTTCAGACAAGTGACTGTCCAAAACATCACAAAATTGTAGGCAAAGCCGTGTGCCAAAAAAGAGCAGCTTGAAGAGAATCTTAAGGCTTTTTGCCTGTTTTTTGTATTTTTAAAGCATACAAGCTTTGGCAATGAAGCAGAAATGGAGATTTCAAAATTGGATTTGTATTCCTAAAACTCTCGGTGCAACTCAAAACTCAACAACCTGGGACCAATATAAAACAGGTTTATGAAATAGACTTTAATTAAATTATTTCTTACCCCAGGATTGAGAAACAGATTTATATGCTTGTGCAACAAAGCCTGATTTTGTTGATTGCCAGCACAGAAGTTCTGTAGAAACTCATGAGCAAGTTTCATGATCTCCTGCATGCGTATATCTTCGGCCTATGATTATAACATACAAAAAATAAATCTCCCAAAGGATTAAGAATACAATAGGTTTAGGATGACCTAATCTAAGGGTTTTACATTGGGATTAGACAAATAGAACACAAGCCTGTACATAATAATTATATTAAGCAAATTAAAGAAAACAGATTTAAAGGATTCAGTTGCAAAGTAATGTGAGGTTTAAAGGATTCTGTGATGTTTAAAAGATTCAGCTGCAAAGTTGCACCAGCCACTTACACTTGCACGAGCCAATACAAGGTTTCTAAATATTTGATAGCCAATTACAGAATATCATTGCCAGTTTGTGCTCAGAAAATATTAGCACAATCATTTTATTAATGGGAATAATAGGTGCAACTTAGCCAAGATTTCCAAAGTTCTCTTTTGAATGTCCTCCTTCCATTTAGCTAGCAATCAACATACACACCGTGTGTATATATACAACTGTTAGAACTTTCAAAAACATCATTACTAAGAAACTCCTTACTTCCTTACATGAGTAAGATTTTTAGTCAACTGAAGGCAATACCTAATGCTCCCTCCTCTTATTTTCTCTATAACTCTAATCTTGTGAGGTGGGTTGGACTGAGAGAAAGCAACTGGTCCAATGAAGAGAAGCTGGAATACTCCCATTTTCACTAGTTTTAAACTCAGAGCACCCAAATAATAATAATAATAATAATAATAATAATAATAATAATAATAATAATAATAATAATAATAATAATAATAATAATAATAATAATAATAGAAGAAGAAGAAGAAGAAGAAGAAGAAGAAGAAGAAGAAGAAGTAGTAGTAGTAGTAGTAGTAGTAGTAGTAGTAGTAGTAGTAGTAGTAGTAGTAGTTGGAAGGGAACTTGGAGGTCTTCTAGTCCAATCCCCTGCTCAGGCAGGAAACCCTATACCATTTCGGACAAATGGTTGTCCAGTCTCTTCTTAAAAACTTCCAGTGTTGGAGCATTCACAACTTCTGGAGGCAAGTAGTTTCACTGATTAATTGTTCTAACTGTCAGAAAATTTCTCCTTAGATTGCTTCTCTCTTTGATTAGTTTCTTGTCCTGCCTTCAGACACTTTGGAGAATAGCTTGACTCCCTCTTCTTTGTGGCAACCCCTGAGATATTGGAACACTGCTATCATGTCATCCCTGTTCTGAACATCTTCTTTCCATTCATCCTTTGTGATGCTTTGCTTCTCTTACTGCATGCTCCAAGACTATACACGTTTACCAGTTTTAAATTGCGATGAAAATCAGCTATTCAGATTATAGTATTAATTTTTATGCACAACTAAAGGACCAGCTATTGCCTTAGACACGTCATTTCTATCTCCTTCTCAATAAAAACAAAATTATTCTGGGTTTTTCTTTTATTCATCCTTTTAATAGAGAAAGCCTTGGCAGAAATACTACTACTAATAATAATAATAGTAAAGTTGGAAGGGACCTTGAAGGTCATCTAGTCCAACCCCCTGCTCAGGCAGGAAACCCTATACCATTTCGGACAAATGGCTGTCCAGTCTCTTCTTAAAAACTTCTTAAAAACTTCTTAAAAACTGTCCAAAGTGGCTTCAATAAGCAACAGAGCAGTGATTAAAATGCAGTATTGTAAGCTGACTCTGCTCATAGCCTCCAGTGATTCTCACTGGCTCAAGGTCAACTCAGCCTTCCATCCTTCCAGGTCAGTAAAATGAGGACCCAGATTGTTGGGGGCAATATGTTGATTCTGTAAACCGCTTAGAGAGGGCTGTAAACCACTGTGAAGTGGTATATTAGTTTAAGTGCTGTTGCTAAGTATTAAATGAATAAACTATTTCCAAAGATTTGCAGCTTCTTTGATGTTCAGTACCATTTATGAGAGGTGTGTTTTAGACAGAATTAAAGATATGAAAATATTTTGTGGACAAAGTTAAAGTAAAAGATGCATGCAAACCTCACTTTCTCATAGGGGATTTGCAAGAGTTCCAGTACCACCGCATGAGCCCCCATGTTTCGGAGCAATCTTTGTTGCTGTTTCCTGCTTTTCCTAACCAAGATACTCTCCTGGACACAAAGCTTACTGAGACGAAGCAAAATCTGCAAAGACATATTCCTTTTAGAAATTGATTGTTTTTTCCCCAGACACAGCATTGCACAAGAAAAAGTCTCTCTGATTCAGCAAAACACATTGATCAAGATACTGATCAAATGAAAAATATTAAAATATTAAAGTGAAAATTAAGGATATAGTTGACGGGATCTACCAGAGAGAATATTTAAGGAAAAAAGAAACATTTGTTTGAACATGTGGATTGTGAATTATAGAAATCAATTGTTAACGATTTTTCTTTACAAATGTAAACCAAGCAAACACACTGTTAACCAACTATTATGTGATTTATGTTTTAAAAACCAATAAAGCTTAATATAAAAAAAGTCTTTCTTCAACAGAACGACGAACGATAAAGAGCAAAGAGTTTGGTTTTAAGAGCAAAATAAGAAAATGAACTGCAAATGAGGCAGCAATTTTGCTACCACAATTAAAGCCCAATGTTGGACCCCCATTTTAATTTTCATATTCAAGGAAAAAAAGCTTCTGTCTCTTCACATTCCAGTAACAGACATACAGCAAAAAAATTATCCAAATCTCAGACGTTTCATGTGGATAAATTAGTATTTCCAGGAGCTGACACTGTATCTGCTTTGCTCTAAACCAGGGGTAGGCAACCTTGGCTCTTTTATGACTCGTGGACTTCAACTCCCAGAATTCCTGAGCCAGCATGGCTGGCTCAGGAATTCTGGGAGTTGAAGTCCACGAGTCATAAAAGAGCCAAGGTTGCCTACCCCTGCAGTATCAGGTCTATAGGATCCAATCTGGGTCAGTCACCAAGACCAGTGGTTTTGTCTCCTAGCTTTTGGACATATACTGGAGCCCATATTCAACTCCTCTCTAGCAGAGTGTTATTAAGTCTACTTTTCATAAATCGGATAAGCAGAATGATTGACAAAAATGCTTAATTTGTCAGTCTAGTTTTTTTCTGTTTGAAATGAGGAAAGGGAAGAGAGAAGCAAGATAGAATCCTAACAATATACCTACATATATTTTATAGGTAAAAATTATGTAGCAATCCTGCATTTCTGTCTTTCACCCCAGCCCCAAGCAAACATGGGAGTACATATTGGGATTAGCTTAAAGCTGTTTGCCCAATTGAAATGCAAATTAAGATGTACACATGACACATAGTATCAATACTTCATTTGCCTAATTTATCACATCTTGAGCTTGTTAAAATCTAGTTAAACAGAGTTATGATCTTTAACATTGTTAACAAATATTTATCCCTGTACCGAACATTTAGCCCTTCTTTAGGAACCAAAATTCTTTAACTACAGAGCACCATGTATTCAGCAACTGCCTTTTTTATCTTCTCTAAGTCAAAGAGTATTTTACGCTCAAACAAAAACAGAATTACTCTGTTACACATTTAAAATTCTTCAGCATATACTTAAAAAAGAAAACTGTACAGATGAAATGGGTATTTGGGAATGCAAGAATCTTACCTCTTTTACTACCCTATAATTATAGCTACTAGTGCTTTCCGGTTTAGAGGATTTGCTGCGACCTTCCTAAGGGACAAACAAAATCAATATATTAAATTGGTTTTTAAGACCCTGGAGCTCATGAATATACACTATGAGCATTTTTTTTCTTACCAGAACTCTCCAATATTTACTATTGCAGCAGGTTTTGCCAATACTGAGGCATTGAGAAAAGGCAGAGGGACATTTCAACAAAATCTTAAATATTTATGAAGATTCTTTTCTTCATGTAAGATCGATTCATATCCCATCATTAATAATCTAATAATAATTATTGAAGGCACGTTGCACATTTTCTTTCCTTTCTGTCAATTCTGCAGTAATATTGTAGCATTTTTCAATTACCACTTAAGTTTTATTGTTTGTTTAATGCTATTATTACAGACCAAAGATTGAGACATGCTGACATTGTACACATACCTATCTAAGACGATATTTTCTCACCATGCCAGTAAATATTTTTCTTTCAGTTTATGACACATAACCAAGGATGAATTTGCTGAATTATTTACATATGGATTTAAAAGAGGTAAGAATGTTGATATGACATTGCTTATTAGCCATGGCATATGCTTAACAACTGCTGTGAAAAAGGTCGTAAAATCCAGCATGGTCATGTGACAATCCGCTTTATGATTGTCATACCTGAGCAAAATTGCAGGCTCAGTTATGATCATAAGTTGAGGACTACCTGTACTAGACAAAAAGAAGAGAACTAGGGGACCTCTGGCTAAAACATGGGCTTAGTAATCAAAGAAGATGGGACTAGAGGCCAGAAATAGTTTGGCTTGGTATTTAAAAGATAATTTGTTTCAAGCCTTTGAAAACTTACACGAATCTGTCAAAACATTTTATACAACAAGAAAGAGAGTGCTTATTTCATTAAAATAATAGTAAAAACTTATTTTATCTATTTATTAGATTTGTGGAAAAACTACATTATACCATACTGGAAGATACATTCAACTAGATTATACTGAAACCAGCCCCCCCCAAACATACAACACTGACTATATTATACCGATTCTTAATATTTTTATAGTTATCAATTAAGCTAGGATTAATACTCCGTGCCAGGAGGGCACATTGAAGCTCTTAAACTGCACTGATAAAAGTTCTTCTTACCTCCTTTTTCTTATGTTCATTTTCTCCTGTTGTTACCTCTGCAGCTTCATCCGGCCCTTGTCCTTTGTAGACCCAGAGTTCCGATTTTTCAACAATGGACCTCAGCTGATCCAAATCTTGCTTTATCTGCTTGTAATTGTCAACATCTTGGCTGGTAACAAGCAGTTGAACCTTACATGAATTGCAATCGGTTAGTTGCAATAAGTGTTTGCTCTACATATTTCAAAGCAAACAGAGAACATTGCACAGCTTTAAACATTTACCTGTTTAAAGGCCTGGAGGACTTCTTGCCTCTGACTAAAGTGTCTGAAGAGTAGCTGAAGCGCCCCAGACACAAGCGGAGGATAGTCATGCATGGTTAAATGGAGCAAAACTCTCAGGAAAGTTCTGCCACCATGATCATCCAAATCTAGTGGCGTATTCTCTTCACTGAAAACACAAAATATAACAACATTAAAACAAAAGTAACAACTCTGACTTCTTAAGTAAGCTTAAGGACATCTCAGTTTCTCTGACTGTATTTCATCTGGTGTTAGGAGAAAAGTAGTAACCTCTTTCTTTCATTGACTGCAAAACTTTTCAGGTGAGCTCTACCTGGCTTGTCTTCATTTTTCCAATTGCAATATTCAACAATCATACGTTATCATAATAATGGTAATTTATCCCCTCTCATCCTTGCATTTCGGTAGTGTATGACCCAACACTGCAGCATACAATAAAAGATGTTGCTTAAACTAACAGCATTCTCTTGTTCAGTATCCCTCCAATCTATTTGCTTTATTTTTCTTTATTGATGGAACATATACAGTATAATCTTCACTTTTTAGGTATAAAAATCCCCTAGGAGTATTTTTCTAGCAAAGGAAAGGACAAGCAAAGGAAAGGACAAGATAAGAGAACTGAAGAAAACAGATTAAACCCTCAACTGGCCTATTTTCCAAAGCGCCTGAAGGCAGAACAAGAAGCAATGGATGGAAACTAATCAAGGAGAGAAGCAACTTAGAACTAAGGAGAAACTTCCTGACAGTTAGAACAATTATCCAGTGGAACAACCTGCCTCCAGAAGCGGTGAACGCGCCAACACTGTAAGTTTTTAAGAAGAAACTGGACAGCCCTTTGTCCAAAATGGTATAGGGTTTCCTGCCTGAGCAGGGGGTTGGACTAGATGACCTCCAAGGTCCCTTCCAACTTTATTATTATTATTATTATTATTATTATTATTATTATTATTATTATTATTATTATTATTATTATTTAAATTTGGTAAATAGAAACAACTAAAGGAAAGATCTAAGCATTATAGTGCATAGCCAATATTAGTTGTTTGTTTATTAAATGTACATATCCACTTATTTTCGATTCTGCAACTCTGGGGGGCTTACAGAATTAAAAAGAAAAAAGCAATATAAAAACAACCACAAAACAAAACAAAACAAAAAAACTATTAGGAGCAATAAGACAATGAAACATAACTTGCAGGAGAGCACCATTCATTTCTTAGAAATGATATTTGTATTAATAAGCAAGGGCTCCTTGATAAAGAAGCTGAAAACATCAAACAAGAAAAGACTGGAATAAAGTGTGAGGTAACCCATAGACACCATGGCCTTGGAATATAAAGGAGAGAACATGGTGTTGGAAAGCCAAAGTTCTCCCTCAAGAGTCTTTGGAATTTCCCAACTCCCTTTCATCCACATGGGACAGAAGGCCATGCCCCTTTCAGTAATATTCCTCTCTCTATTTTTTTCCATTCTGATAGGTATATGTATATAAAGGTAAAAGTAAAGGTTTCCCCTGTCCAGTTGTATCTGATACTGGGGGGCGGTACTCATCTTCATTTCTTAGCTGAGGGAGCCAGCCTTGTCTGAAGACATTTCCATGGTCAGGTGGCCAGCATGACTTTATTGGCCACCCCAATGATGCCCTTGACATGATGACCCGATGTCTGGAGGCCATGAGGGTCTGGATGGGGAGGAACAGACTCAGGCTCAACCCGTCCAAGACCGAGTGGCTGTGGTTACCGGCGCCTCCGCATAGTCAGCTGATTCCATCGCTGACTATAGGGGGCGAAACTCTGGCTCCCTCGGATCGGGTACGCAACTTGGGTGTCCTCCTGGATCCACGGCTGACACTGGATGACCAGTTGGCGGCCGTGACCAGGGGGGCGTTTTATCAGGTTCGCCTGATTCACCAGTTGCGACCTTTTCTGGACCGGGACGCCCTACGCACG